AAATATTTATGCTTCCTGTTTAGTATTACCTTTGTTTTTCTCGTGTATATATATATATATTTTTTTTTCTTAAACATTCTAAGAACATATACTTATAGAGTTTCTGTAAATGATCAAACTTCTAAATTTACGGGTTGAGTGATTTTACTCGTTTTTCTCAAACTTTTACTTCTACATTCGGCGTAAGGTACCTATACCATCAAAGATCAAACTTTATATTTACCTACCTTTTAAGTTATATCTGTATACTTTTACAAAAAAACAGTTTAAAATTCAAGTGATTAAAATGTTAGCACATTTTTATACGTATAGTTTTTCAATATAGATATGCGTATTTAAATATTGGTATCACAATAACTATACTCGTATAGTTACATGATATACTATTATGAATATATTACAACTATATTTAATTAATTATAGGTTATAAACATCTATTATAATTTACCGATAGCTAGTCATAATTTTACAGATTTCCATTTAATTTGATATACTTATAAAGAATATAATATGATAGAATACCTACTCAAATAGAGTACTACCGATCTTTATATTGTAGATAATGTTGATTTATATCTTCAATCCACCCTTACATATAGTATCTAAATATTTAAACACAATCGATTGCTTTACATAATTACGTCCAAAAGAGTAATTCACAATTATTACTATCTCTTATATTTTTTAGAAAGGTTATTACCTATCATATAAATTATATTAACTAATTAAAAACCACGTTACATAATCTATCATGCACTAGTAATTTATAACTTATAAATACTATTACGAATATTTTGAATTATATTTACATTACATATTAGATGCTTATGTTTTAATATGCAAGGCCATGCAAATTGAGTTAATAATAATTAACTTCATTACATTTTGAAAAAAAACATTTATTATGTAATTACCTATTTTTATACAAGAAGATATTAAGTTATACATTGATGATAATCATAATAGACTTTAAATCTTGTATTGTCGGAGCATAAGTAAATTGAATGCAACAGGCAAGATACAATAATAGATACTTGACTTGATAAATGAAACAACGATTACTGTACATACGTACCAATCGTTTTCAATATATTATTAATTTGTTATTAGGTACAGTTTCAATGTTGCACAATTTCCAACATGATACACCATTTAAATAATTATTAACACATTTTATACTATAAAATAGGGAAACAAAAACAAAGGAAAAAATCAAAAAAACAGTCCGATAATTGAATCACTCAACTTCACTCGATCACCATATTTTTACAATAATTTATTTTTGATTATTTTATTAGTGATCGAATGATTAAAATGTACCTATAGTACTAAAATTATTCCACAAGTATTAACACAGTTATTGAATAAAAATAATAAAACCACATTGAATACCTCAAAGAATTTATATTTATAGAGTATTCATAAATAACAAATAATGTTTACTATCAAAATCAAACGTACGTTAGTACCTGACTACCTGACGTAATTTATCAAAAGAAAATAGAAAAAACACAACGTCATGAGTTACGTTTAGAGTATTATTTTTTCGTGTAATATGTTACGTGGAAAAAGTTCTCAAGCGCATGTGAACTTTTTTTTTGTACGTCAAACAATATAAGCGCATTCATCACTGCAAACGGTTTGCATCTTTTTCGCATTATGCACACCACCGTTCCCCTCCCAATCACCAATCTTCCAGATGCGGTCCCGCCGACACTTGCAGGCCCGCACGCACGTTGCTTAATACTGCAGAGATTTAAAAATTATTATCAATTTATTTACGAAATGTTACTTTTTATGATTATTATTTTTTTTTCTCGTCAACTGCCGAAGAGATAGTGTTTCTTACAATACAGATGACCTATATGGTGGGCAATGCGAAAAACAGGTTACGCGGGACGTTAATTTACCGATGCATTTCACTTTCCATACTTCTTTGCCATATAATTTACCATAATAATATAATGTGTTATTAAATTGTTGTTTACTGCTGAATTATGCTAAACTATGTTTATATGTTTAAACCGTAAATTTTACAGATAAATTATGTTTTACGATATAACATACTTTTCTTATGTTTTTTTCCTATGCGTGTAAAAATACACAGAATAATAGTAAATGTATGTAAAATAATACCATTTACTATTTAATGTTATACTTGTTTAAACAAACCGACGAAATAACATAAAACAACAATTCCGGTGGTTATAATAGTTCTTTGTTGTTGTATTTTTATAATGAATTTATCTACATAATATTATTGTCGAGTGTCAAGTATAGGTAAACGTCAATACAAAACGCAATATTATATCATGGCGTTTATAAATAAATATGCAAGTGCTAAACGATAACATTTTATTTTGTTTAAACTGTTTTATGTTTACTAAAATTTAACGATACATAATAATGTTTGTTGAATTAATTAATAAACATGTATAATTGCAATATTATGGCGGTACTGTAACAGGTCCGGCCATTAACCAAAATTAAATATTAATTTTATAAACACGGACGAAAATACTAAAGCTCATCTATCAGTAGGGGCATATGTAAAGTAGATCCCCCTATGACCTTTTTTTAAGTTATTGTGATATTTTTATTTAAATTTATTATAATATTATTTAGACGCCATTTAATATTTATTGTATTCAATTAGACGAATTAATAAAAATTATTTAGTATATATTATGTAGGTTTAGTATTTAGTAAGACAAAAGGAAACAACATTTATTATTCACTAAAAACAGAAATACGTCTTGGCAAAATGTAAAAAATAGTTTTGCATTTATTGAAAGCAAAATGTTTAAAGCTAAAAACTTTCTAAAATACTCGAATAGTTAGATACCATTAAACTTTGTAATACTAATATATTTACTAACATATTATATTAATTATTAAAATTTTTTTATTCATTTCCTATGTCAATAGTTAAACCTGAACGGATATTTTTTTTGTATTAAAATGTTAAAATGTTGAAAATTATTTAAGAAATACCAAGAGAAAATTAAATGTTTGTTTTTCAAATTTAATGAGTAAAAAGTTAGTAGATAATTTAAATTTTGTACAAATTACTGTGGACAGTCTACATAATAATTATTAATGATGATCAACTGTTCATTAAATAGGTATTTAAATTTTAAATAGTGCTACTATATGTAATTGTGTTTATCTAAAACTATCTCAATGCATTTACCAGGATAACAATATAAAAGTAAATTTTAAAAACTTTGGATAAGATATTAGTTGAATGATTAGATAAATGATTACTTTAAATTAAACTATAAAATTTGATCACAATTCTTTCAGTTTTAAAGTTTTTTTTTTTTTTTATATTGATTGTAGGTAAAGCATTGCTGTATGATAATATATTATACAGTCGGCTATTAAATGTATATTTTATGTTGTGTACTAATGTTAATACCTACTCACATTTGGATTGTGTGATATAGTTAAATTATAATGATATGTTATACGAATAGTAAACTCATATGTCATCGGTTTTTTTTTCCATAAATAATTTTATAATCATCAACTATAAGAAATAAATGTGTATACGCCCTTGCAGTGATTGACACTGTATGACAGGACAGCCCTCCATGTTTAAACAAATATCAACTAACAAACAAAAAAATAACCTAAATAAATATTAAAAACAATGAAAATTTCATTATCGTGTGAATGATTTATTTAAAAAAAAACCGGACATTGAGAAATTGAAAGAAAATGCAACCTAAGTAAACCAAAGTAATTATCGTAATACATAATTATCAAATAGCTAAAGAATTTTACTAGTTTATAAAATGATGTTAAAAATATATCTTTTTAGCCATAACTCTATATAATAGCAGGTAGTGTATATATAAAATTTACTTTTTATATTTTTAATTTTATGATATCGTTAAGCTATATTTTATAATATGTGATTTATGTATACTATAGTATAAGTAATAATAATGACAATAAATTGTAGATAAATATAAAATAAACATAAATTACACTCTTTTCAATTATTTTTTATACATTTATTTAACAATTATGTATTATTTTACCTAAAATAATAGTCATTAGTCGAAGAGTAATAGGTAATGACAATAAACAATCCAGTTTTATGTTTTCTTTATGCAAAACATACTTACTTACCTACCTATATTATTTATTCTAAATGGCCTATTTAATTTAAATGAAAAGATTTGTCAAGAGTTTGAATGTAAATATACTTATACTGATATGTTTTGTAAATTGATGATTAACTTAGACAACTTTAAAATTATTATAATATTATACATACAACATTTTTAATACTAAGTGATGGTTTCTATTTGGAAAAATTACTAACACGGTTATCAATACAAGAAGATTGGAAGCACGATAAGAATATTATACTTATAAACGTCGTGATTATCATATTAATGAGGTTTTTTATTTGCTGATTGCCTGGTTATGATAATATTTAGTAGCTATTTTATACATTCAACTTGATTCACTTCAACCAATAAATTCAAAAATGTATTTAAAAAAAAAATCTGATATTTTGGTAAAATAATATAAGTAAATGAAAAACAACTGATTAAAAACAGAAAAAATAAACGTTTGATTAAAAAAATTAAAAATTGTGTAGTAATATACTGTTAAAAGCACCTCAAATTTAATTTAAAATATAATAAGTTTATGCTTTAGTCTATTTAAATAAAACCCATTAAAATATAAAACATTTTACTAAAATAAAATATTATTTATATATAAATATGTAATGAATGCTAGACATTTCTAATGTTGGTTTTTATTAATGACAATATTTATATATGCATTGTATGTTTATAGTGGTGATAAGTATGGTTTGTTTTTACATGAAATTAAATATAATATTATGTTTTGAGTATTTAATCGTTTAAATAATAATTTATAAGTTTCATAAAATTTACTTTTAGTTACAATATAATATTCATAAATTATAAATTAGTATTACCAGCGAAAAAGACTATTTTACTTATTTGTTTTAGGAAATAACTTAAGTGGCGGAATGCAGAATGTTTTAAGGAGGATAGCGGCCACATTGGTTATTTTATGTCCAGTAATTGTCTTTTCAATACCGGAATCTGCTATTCAAGCATCATCAATCAAATCAAGTCAATCTGAACAAGTAAAGAAATATCATTTTGAATCAATTTATATTTATACTTTGTAAAAGTAAAATTAACTTTTACCTTTTAATAACCATTTAACTAAAATTCTTCAATTTAAAATGTATAATATATTCACGGAAACCACTTTTAAGCATACTTACAAAATAAATACAAATGTAGTCATCAATAAAAGTGTATCGTTTTATTATACACTAAGTTCTGATAAATAAAATCATATTATATATCTACAAAAATCATATTATATATCTAAATTGTGTTATAACTTAAGTTTAATATGTGAGCACTAGTAATAGTGAAGCAAGTATGTTTACCTTGTCCTTAATAAATATATTGCTTTCTTAATATATTACATTTTTTTTAAATATAGTGGTACAACAATTGATTTAACTTATTATTTTTACTTTTATTAAAAAAAGAAATCTATTTCTATGTTTCAACAAAACAATACACTTCTTAATAATTGTTATGTATATTTACTCAGTCATATTTATTTTTTTTCTTTGAAAAATATCCACTATAGTTATTTATTTTTAGTAGTTTATAAGAATAAAATTATAGATGTATGTATGAATACAACTATGTAAGTTAAATAACATTCAAATGATTATTAATCATAGTACTACACTTTAAACATAATATTAAATAGTTCTATATTTTAATAGCACACTTGTATCAAAGTATAATATATGTTGGAATAACTGTATATAGGATAACTCGGACTATACGAGATCTTTTGACGAAGATCAAGAGGAAAAACGGGCATGGCGAGATTTGCAGACGGCTGGTTGGGGCAAACGTGGTTGGCAAAACTTAAAAACCACGTGGGGCAAACGGGCACAAGATTGGCAGAATTTACATTCATCGTGGGGCAAGAGGCAAGGCTGGCAAAAATTACACGGTGGATGGGGAAAACGTGGATGGAAAGATATGCAGTCCGGAGGCTGGGGAAAGAGGTTTAAGGATCAGGTACGTGTATTTTGGTATTAACGTGTAGGTCGTCGTTCAGAGTTATATGATTTACAGTGTATGCTTGCAGTATTGCACTTTCACATATTATTATTGTTGACGTCAATTAAATATTTATCATGCATAGTAATGATATAATATAATATATGATTGTTATTTTAATATAGCCTAGAAGTGATCAATTATCTCAGTTTGACGAATATTTAAACAAATACGAAGACGAAAATCCTAATGAAGCAGAAAAACGGTCATGGGACAATTTCCAAGGATCTTGGGGTAAGAGAGCAGCTGATTGGACAAGCTTTAGAGGTAAGCCGGTAAGCTAAACATTTTATTTAATTTAGTTTAAGCCAGATCTTTATTTTTATTTTATTTTTTTTTTTTATTGAACTTAAGCTTCGGCGACTAAGGCCATTAGCTATTGTAGGGGTTATGAACTGTGGTAGGGGTAAGGTTGGTATGGTAGGTTGTTTTTTTTTTATGATTGTTACGGCTGATAGTAAACACACGTGTATGTGTGGCAAGGTTTTTAACCACTATGATCCCGGGTGGTCACCCATCCGGAAGCTAGTAGCTGTGGTCGTTACTTACTCTCAGTCGCATTCCGCGGCTGGTAGCAGCCAATGCGCCACGTCAAGCCACCAGATCTTTATTGCCGATATGTTAAATGCTGTAATTTACAATAAAATATTATAATTGATCTGTTAAGGTTTGCTTTTATTTATTATTCATTTAATATAATAAATAATCTATTGATCTTTTTAAATATAAAATCTATTATTATTTTTATCATTTGAGCAATAATTAATTTGAGTTCCTAATTTAATTACACATTATATGCGTATATACATTGCGTATTACATACATTAAATACGCTTTAATGTATTATCAAAATGAATACTATAGTATATATACGCACCATAGTATATAGGTTTTTATAAACTACAACACAATGTTGCTTAAAATATTCTTTAATTATCCAATATTTTAATTTTTAAATGCAACTACCCTTAGAGAATTATTTTAATTTTAAACAAAAATACATATTTTTCAATACGTTATAAATTATATATACAAAATACAAATACAATTAAAAATAAGACAATTATACATGTTTCTCATAAATTTGTACCTACTTATTATTCAGCAAGATTTAAATATTTAACCATTAAAGGGGTTTCTCAAATACCAAGTAGTTCTTAAAAAGGTTTCTCTAAGCTTCTTGAAGATTCTAAAGACTTTCCGATTTCAAGTATTTCCATTAGGATAAATAACAAAACTGTCAATTGTACCTCATAGTTATATAATTATTAATTAATTAGGTTATATGAACGGTAAATTTTAATTTTAATAATAACTATTAAAATTTACTAAGTCATTCATTCTTTTTTTTCATCGGATAAAATAATTACTTATATAATAAAACATAATGTTAAAACAATAACTTTTTATACATGGTTTCTGAATTAAAGTTAAGTAAAAGCTTCGTAAATTCCATGGCTCCTATCAGAAACCTCCAACTGAAAGCTTAAAGAAAAATTATTTTTGGATTACATAATATGCTATGAGAGTTTAAGACTGAAATTAACTATAAGTGATATTTTGAATTAAAAGGATTATGATAATCTTCATTTAAACAAAATCATCTTTAAGCATTCAAATCTTTCGTGTTGAAATCATAGTTATTAAAATATTAGGTTATATTCTATTAACATGTTGTGCTTATGCAAAACTATGCAAAATATGTTTACAAATTATTATGCTCTACTTCTGCATTTCAATATTACATAATAATACACATATTATAGCTAAATTATTATTTCTCTATTTCACCGTATTAATATATTATTACCATAACATAATAATTGAGCTAAAACCTTTTATTTGTAATATTTTTTAAAAATAGAAAAATACATTCCGAAAAAAATGTTATCAAAAGAAAAATTATATAATAGGTTAATGATTGTATTGTTGATTTTTAACACAATAACTTTAATACAGAAATAGTAAAACTAAAAATAAATTAATATTAAATTAATTTTTAATTAATTTTTATAGATCTTAAAACAAATTAACTAATAACAATTAATGTTTAGAATTTTTTTATGTTATTAATAGAATAAAAAATGTTTAATAAATATATACTCTAAACGTAAACAATATACATTGCAGTGTCTCAGGTGTTTTAATATAGTTTTATAAAAATTATACTTTTCAATTGGCTAATAATTTTACAGCCGATTAGTTATAGATAATCAAAATGATATTATTTGTATTGTTACATTGCATTATGTAGTTTTAATATTTTGAAAATATATTATTCAACATAATTAATACTTATAAGTCATTATTTATACAATAAGTTAATGTACGTAAGAAGTACAGATGTCCTAGATAGAAAAATATTCATAGCATATTGGTGGTAATATAAGTAAACAAGAGTATACTTTTGATTATATTCATTATAATATACATCACATTAACATATGGAATTTAATATAAATTAACGTTTTAGCCATGAGGGATGTATTTATATTTAAACTTGAATTATAATGTTAATATTTAGTAATGCTATACAATAATATTATGATGTAATGTGTATAAATATTTAATGTTTTCAATTTATTTAATATCAAATTTTAAATGATAAGTACTTATACTGGCTGCAGTTGCTAATGGTGGGCAACTTATCAACACAATACTATTTTAATGTGTTGTAAGTGTAAAATAAATAGATTAAACTTCTTACGCTGAAGTTTATTATACGCAGATATATTGTAAATAAAAAAAAAAAAAAATGAATAAATAATAATAATAATCTTTGTGTACAAACAGGTTCGTGGGGAAAAAGAAATCCCGTGGACTATATGAACGAGTATTCAGGATATGGAGACAGCGATAATTACAAAGCTTATATTTTTCCGTCAGGTAAATTATGTTTAAATTGAATACTTGATGTATACCTATTCGTTTACAATATGGGTTTGAAGTCGATTGTCACGCTTGTAATTTGAATTGAAAATATGTGTTAAGCACCTGCTATTAGACATAGTCATTTACAACAGGTGTATATTATTTTATTCAAAATTAAAGTTATTTATTAACGGTTTCAAAAGAAAATTATTAAACAGTTATTCAATAAATATCATCATATATACTCCGGTATAATTAGGTATTATTGTATCTGCGATAATAATTGCTTAATTTTAATATATAAAAACAATAAACTTAAAATTAAGAGTAAAAAAATATTTTGAATATTTTTAAATGTTTTAAATAATTTAAAAAAATGTGTGTACCTATCATTTTTAGGTGTTAAGAATGCTGTAAAAATTTAATTTTATTCGTAATTCAATTTCTATAGAAATTAATTATTAGTGGAGACAAAAGGTATTTTAAAAAACTCATTTATGAAATTCCCCAATGGATTCCTAGAAAATATGAAAAATTGTAACTGAATATTGCTTGACAAATCTAGATTTAAATCCCGACTGAGAGCAAAACTTTTTATATTTTATTACATACTTGAAACGACTTATTGTTCAGACATTTTAAATTTTAATTCCAAATACTCTAAGAAATTTAACCATATAACGTGATATCCATTAAAGTATTACAAACATTGACATCAGATTTTTTTTTTAATTACATAGAAACTTTTTTTTATTTTTACAAATAATGAAATAACTGTGTAATTTCATAACAATATCATATTTAAATTTAAATTTGTAAAAGGTTCATATCCGTGATTATTTTACTTTACGTTTTTATCTATTTTATAAAATGTTCAAATTTAAATTTATTAATTTTACGCTGGTAGTATTTATAACTTAATTTTTGAAAAATCCAAATGATTTTTGTCTTTTTGGTCTGTTATTTTTCTCATTTTCAAGTCATATTACATAATTATAATTTTCTCAGACTACATGTATCTTATGTCTTCTTGCTATTTCTTCTAACCACTTAAAGTCTAACTTATTCTTAATCGAGTGCGCATCATAAGACACTTTGTCTATCGAACCATCAATGAAGGCTTTAATAAACATGTTTAGTTCTTATACGACAATTATTCATGTATTATAATATCATCGTATGAAATCATATGAAATCTCATCTTTTCACATTTCTTTTCAAAATTTTCATTTACGTTTCCCATTTGCAAACATTTTCACTTTCAATATTCTGGAAAAGATAATATAGTTTGAGGTGTGTAACTCACTCATTCGCGATTCTATACTAACCAAAAACATAATCTACCTAGCTCATTTTCGATTACGCATAAGATATTAGCGTATTTAAAGTGAACGATAATTACTAATTACTTATATTTACCAACTATTCATATCATAATTTCGTCAACTCTAATTCCACACAGATTTAATAACACAACTTCGATTTCGCTTTCTTTTAATTCTAAAAATCTTACTTTTTGTCTCCCAATACCGTCTCCTGGCTGAATCAAATGACACTAATCAGTTTATATTTCACTTATATATATAAACTATAAAAATCTTGTTTTATTTTATACTTACAGTAATAAATTACTATTATGTTAAAATAAAGTAATAGTTTAACTAAAATATTTATTTAACATAAGCATTGATAATTATATATTTTATATTTCAGGTTACAATAGTTATTTACCCAACTTCCAAGCGGAATACGAAAAATGAGACATAAATTCTCAATTTTTGAAAGTACTACCACAAAAAAATATTAACTATTAGCCCTAAATTTACAGACTATATACTATTACATCAGATTGTGAAATAAAATTAATATATTATGTACCCATGCCTCCGTAATAATACTATTACATTCAAGTAATCAATTAAAAATATTTTTGTGCATTTATATATACTTTTTTTTGTTCAAGTAAATATTAAATATTAATAACCAAAATTATATATATATATATATATATATTTTTTTATCTTATGAACAAAAATTATGTTTCCTCATTCATAATATGAGCTAGTTATAGATTTATATTATGTATATGTATTAACTTATTACATATATAGTATAAACTAATGCATATTCAAACAAATGCATTAAGTAAAATAAATAGAACAAAAACGAATAACAATTATTCAAACGTAAATTTGCATAGGCTCAAACTGTTATATTAATCAGTTATATATTGAAATTATCTTATCAACTTATAGAAAATTGCAATTGCAGATGTTTTTAATTAAATATGAATAAATAACGACTATAATTAGATTATAAATATTAAATATAATAAAATATGCTGAGGAATACGTTACCATAAAAATAAATATACAAATTAAACAAATTATCAACTTACAAATGCATTTTTATACATAATACACTAAAAAAAATAAAATAATATTCACAATTGAACTATATAAAATAGGAATAATAGAACAAGTATTTTATACTATTCAAATATATTATGCTTAAAAAAAAGTTATGAAAAAATTAAACATTTTTTGTGTTAGAATATAGAATTACAATTGTCCAAACTCGTGCGGTTAATTAATATAAGTTAAGTAGACACCTTGTAAATCTTGTTAAATTTAAACATCAGCTATTTTTACTAATGTTAATTTCCGCTTTTATTAATAGTTTATTACATTTAATTATTTCTGTCCGTTCTAAGTCCGCTACCTATGTAATTATTTCTTATTATTATACAACATTAGGATGTAATAAACTATCAATTACCAAACAACAAAATCAAAAACCATGACTAAGACTAATACAACGTTTTAGATTTTTATTTTCCAGTTTAATTCCTGTGTATAAAATTAAAATAATTTATACTTTAAATCAATTAACATGCTAACCAGATAAAACGTGTTTTAAGTCCATGAAAAACAACTCGTCAACGGTAAAATAGATTATGTTTAGGTGAAATTTGTAACCCTGCAGGTTTTCAATTCTTGAATGTCAACAATAGAAAATATACATTTTATCCAAAAAAATAAACTTGACAATACATCGGATACTTGCACATATAACGCTACTCTGTCCCCCCATACAAAAATAATGTTATAATTGTTCACCGTAGCGTATCCGTACAATTTCCGTTCATACATCGTTGAATTTCTTGGTATCAACTTCAACCGGAATTAAACATCTGTTTAACCTTAAAAATTGTATAGTAATAAATTTAAGATTTTTAAGTGAAAAACACAGTAGTGTATTATGCGAAAAAATGCATAACATATCTGTGTACAAATACAAAATATAGTATTCACTTGTACGTACATACTTGATGATACACAAACTAATTATGTAAGTATGTTTATATGCATATTTAATATTTATTTATTTAAATTCATAATAAAAAAATACAATTCTTTAGAATGATTAAATAATAACTATAATACAATTTATTTTAAATATAATATTTATACTTTAACAAAACGTCTAATACTTACGTCTTTTTGAATATAACACTACAAAATGTCTGTACTGAAAAAATCATGAATAAATTGTTTCTAATCAATATAGTTAAAATATTTTACTTTATAACTATTATATTAAATTTATTTATTCATCGATGTTAGATAAATTCAACAATCAAATTTAAAAATTAACTTATTTTTCATTTCAATGACAACATTTAATATTTTAATTTGATTCACGATAAGTCTGAAAAAAAAGCTATGCAAGCTAATGAAATTTTATTTTTTTTGTAGAAGTACATGATGAAGTGCGTGATCTTAAACATCGAGTAGATTGTGTGGTAATTTGGCCAAATGATTTTTAAAAGAATCATTACGTTCTTAGTTATTATTAAATCATTTCTAAAAATCGTCAATGATATACTATTTGTAAGTGTGATATAGACTCGTTCTAATAATTTTAAAACTTTAATATACTTGACAAGCATTAAACAACTATTTTCGGTTGTAATTATTTAATTTGATTTTAATCCTAAAATTGAGTATTCCTCATAAACCAGCTATCTTACCCAACTCGTCTGTCGTCTATACATTAATCGGCTCTAGTGTAGTGTATATAAGTATTTACAGCCAATCTTATTTTTTTTTAAACAAACTAGGATTTAAACACAAAAACACGCATTTTTACGCTTTTTGCTACTAAAGTACAGAATAAAACTAGTTAACCACCGTCATAAATGCATCTTATCTATTAAAACCGTCAGTGTAGATAATAAATGTATATCGTGTTTTAAAACAAGAAAAGTAAATGCGAAAAAATCTTCATCAATACAATGCTAAATAATATCACATTTTTACAATTACATTATATATTTATGTATATCATCAAATTTTAATACCTTTTAAGTTCTAATAGTTTGTTGAGCCACAAAATTCTATATACCTATGACTAAAACCTATAAAAACTACAGCACTTTAATTTAAATTTATTGATTTTATTTAAATATATTCATTAATTTAGTCGATACTTTAAATAATTAAGATAATGTATTTTATGTATTATCAATATTAAAATAAATGAAATCGGTTAGAATAAAAAGTATAGTTAGTGAAATTAATCATTACATTCCATTATTGAATTTGTTTAAGTTTACTTCATTAAGTTTAAAATATGTTTTGATTTATTATTATATTACATTGATCTACATAGGTTTACTAACAAATTCATTATAACTAGTAATATTTAATTCTTATTGAAATGTATGCATTTTATAATATAGATAATAATGATAATATTTAATCATCAGTTAACTATACTTATCTATGTAGAGTTTTTTTTTTCCCAACAGTGACGTTTAATCAGTTCTTTGTTTCTATGGTAGAACAAAAACAAAACTTTATCGATAATTTTAAATTTTCCTATATGGCTATATCCGAACTTTTTACGCTTATTGGTAATTTGGTACCTACATAGGTATTATAAGCAATTGACAAATATAATATTCAAATTGATGTATTAGTGCTCACTCTGGATATGAAGTCACGTAGTTTTTTGAAACTTTTTACATGACCAATGAAATAAAATGTCAAACAATGTAAACATGGTATTATATGCGTATTCGTATTTACTAATTGTAACTAATACGATTTATCGTCATTTGAAAAATTAGGTTTATTATTGATGAGTTATCATGAAAAAGTCTATAAGTATTTCGATTTACCTACCTAAAATTATTATAAAAAAAATTAAACGGTGAGTATATAACATAGATCTATTGAATAAATAATGTATGCACCGATGTTTAAAAGCGATCTTCAAAAAATAAAAATAAAATGAAAAAATGAGTACAAAAATATGATTGTTCAAGTTTTTTTTTTAATGACGTTTATTGATACATTTACAAACTATACATCTACTCGTATTAGTGAAATTTATTTATGCATTAAGTAAATTTGAGGAAAGATTGATAATGATGGGATTGTGAAAAAGAAGCTCACAGTAGATTTAATATAAATTATACGTTGTTGAGGAGATCTCTTGACAAATTCCTATTGAAACGTTTGAAATTGTTTAATCTTATGAGAATTTAATACGCAAAAAATTAATATTCTTCAATAATAAATAACTTTATTTTTAAAACCACATGAATGGCTTAAGACTATTAATTTTAATGAATAAAATGTTGTACTATTCAAAAAATAGGTGTATTAAATGTTTATCTATAATTTTAATGATTTTTTCCTTGAGCCAATTTTGTACTAAGCAATTTTGATAAAAGGTAATTGTTATACCTAAACATTTTTGTGTGTGGAAATAAATTCCTAGACATTTTTAAATTTTATTACTACCCAATATACCTATATAGTTTACATTTTGTTGTAATTTGTAGATATGGCAATGAATAAATGATTACACTCACAAATGAGCTGATAATCGTATAATAAGTACAGTAGACGGTAAACAATATAAGATACGAAGACGTCTGTATCTATGTGTATATAATAGTTAAAATAAGTAAATTATGTACTCTGATTGCTCGACTCCGATAGTCGTAATTCGCAAGATCAAACGCAATTCTACTTTTTTTTTATCATATTTATATTACAATGGCTGTAAATTAAACATTTTGGTTCAAACTTATAGAAATATTTTATTTTTAGAAACATTTTATTTTTGTTTATATATATATATATATATATCCTTTTTAATACAGGACAATTTTTTTCCAATAATTTGAATTCATAGAATTTAAATATTACTGTGACACATATAATATACATGTGCAATAACAATTATTATAATATTTACACTATTCAACAAGTTTGATATGATGTCTAATGTGAAATTAGAATTCAGAGAACACTTACATTTATTTCAATTATCTTCTTCACAGTGATGCTTAGGTATAGTCACGTACCGCTACTAAATTGTTAACTACAAAGGTGGTGTGTAAATCAAATATTAGATTACATTTTAAGCAAAGGTAAGTGTTGTTTTCATTAGGTTTAATTTAATATGTATTATTAATAATTACGTTGGTACTATGATAAAATTTGTGCGTAATAAGCTTAAAGTATTTTTACAAATTATGAAAGTGAACTCACCATTTATCGTAGGATTACAATAATCTTTTTTAATTTGTTATAATATTAAACATAAATTTAAAATTCTAACAATCTTTTGTAAAAAAAAAACGTTATCTATATTATTGACTCATTAAATGTTTAGTGTAAAATACAATTAAATAAGTAACAACAATTTATTACTTAAAAATTGACTAAGTTATTGTTTTTTAAAACATTCACAATAATATATTATATGAAAATTATATTAGTAGTTCTATGATCTAGTATACTAAGTCAGTACCGTATACTGTGTAATATTTGTCTTGAAGTATGAAAACTCTAAAATAGTGATGTACTTAAGTCTATTATACCTAAATCAAATTAAAAATTTATTAT